CCTAGCTACTCCTTTGATGCGGATCATAAAGAAGAACGTTAAGTGTGAGTGGAATGAGGACTACAAAGGAGCTTTATAGAATTTAAGAAGCGGTTGACTACTGCACCTGTGTTGGTTTTACTGAATGAGACAGGTGGATATACAGTTTATAGTGATGCCTCCTACTTGAGGTTGGGTTGTATCCTGATGCAGCATGGGAATGTCATAGCCTCTGAGTCCAAGCAGTTGAAAAGTTATGAGAAAAACTACTCCATCCACGACTTAGAACTTGTCGTTATTATCCATGCCTTGAAGACTTGGCGCCACTACTTGTATGGGGAGACTTTTCAGATTTATACCGATTATAAGAGATTGAGACACATATTCACTTAGAAGAATCTCAACATGTGTCAGAGGCATTAGATATAGCTCCTCAATGACTACGATTGCAACATTTTATATCACTCGTGTAAAGGCAATGTGGCAGTCGACACGCAAAGGCAATGTAGCAGTGGACGCGTTCAGCAGAAAAAGTGCAGGTATGTTAGCTCACTTAATAGTTTCTAAATATAGGGTAATAAGGGTCGCACAACAGATATGACTTCAAGACTTGAAGAGAGTTATATGCTTGGTCTACTTAACTGTTCAACCTGAATTGACTTAGAGAATAAATGAAGCCTAATCTACCGATTCCACCCTAACAGCTCTCAAGAAGGATGCAGAATAGGAAGTAAATTTAGAATTTTGAGTCTTTACTGATGGGTTGCTCAGATTTCAAGGGTATGTGTTCCAGGTGATAGTGAATTGAAAAGGGATACCATGATAGAGGCTCATACCTTAAAGTTTGTTATGCATCCCGGAAGTACTAAAATGTATCAAAACATGTGACCCTGATTTTAGTGGAGCAGAATGAAAAGAGAGGTAGCCGACTTTATTTTCAAATGTCTAGTATATCAACATGTTAAGGTAGAGCATCAACGCATAGGCAGGTTACTTTATCCATTACCGATCATGGAGTGGAAGTGATGATATATTACAATGGATTTCATGATAGGGTTGCCTAAGGCATGCTCAGAACATGATACCATTTGGGTAATTGTCGACTAGCTCACTAAGTCTTCTCACTTCTTGGCTATTAAGATGACCGACTCCTTGAACAAGTTAGCAAGAATATATATTTGGGAGATAGTCAAGTTATATGGAGTTCCAGTGACAGTAGTATCCGACGAAGACCCCAAGTTTACTTTTTAGTTTTAGTCTAGTTTTTAGCAAGCCATGGGAATAAAAATCTCTTTTAGTACCGCATTCCATCCTTAAACTGATGGACAATCAAAGAGAACGATTCACATACTAGAGGATATGTTCTGAGCTTATGTTTTAGACTTCAGGGGCCATTGGGATGATCATTTATCCTTGATAGAGTTTGCCTACAATAACAACTTCAAGATAAGTATCGATATGGCTCCATATGATGCATTGTATGGCCGCCATTGCAGGTTGCCGATTTATTGGGAAGAGGTGGATAATAAAAAATTATTCGACCCAAATCTTGTGAAGGAGATTATAGCCAAAGTAGTTACGATCATGAAGAACATTTAGACAGTTTAGAGCAGACAAAAGTTATGTAGACATCCGGAGGAGGGATTTACAATTTGAAAATAGTGATAAAGTGTTTCTTAAGGTCACCCCTTTTAAGGAGATCAGCAAGTTTGACAAGATGGAGAAATTAAATCCCCCCAATTCATTGGACTATTTGAGATCTTAGACCAGATTAGTACGACCGCCTAACAGACTGATTCTACCTCCAGAGCTTTCTAGAGTTCATAATATGTTTCACGTATCCATGCTATGCAAGTACAACTTAGATCCCTCACACATCCTTTCCCACAAGCTCCTTTCACTCCAAAAAGATCTATTATATGAGGAGGTGTCGGTTGACAGTGTAGATCGGAAGAGTAGAGTACTTTGTAACTGAAAAATTTCTTTCGTCAAGGTTCTATGGTAGAACCATACATAGGAAGAGGCCCCTTGGGAACTGGAATCAAGTTTCAGGGTCTAGTACCCTCAACTGTTCAATTGAGTGAGAGAGTGACCAATTAGAGGAACTAAATTTTCTTAAGAGGGGAGAGTTGTAATACCCGGACTTGAAAAAGTAGCTCCAGATAATTTGTTCTTATTAAATTATTTTATTAAAATAATTACTTAATTTATTTTTTTTATTTAATTAAAATTTTGAGAAAAAATAAACTGAAGATGAAATTGAAAATAATTTTGGGAAAAAAGGGTAAAAATTTGAGTTCGGGGAGTGTTTTAAAAGAAAAATTAAAAATAGGGGGTCAAAGTGTAAAAAAAAAATGTGACCATATGGAACGGCCCAGTTAGCAGCCCTGAGAACCAGAGCACACCACGTGTCAAACACGCTAATCTCGGTGCCACATGGGTGATCCACATGCCCAACGATCCGACAGCTCAAGTTCAATCCCGCGCACGTGAATGGCTTAGATTCATTCCCTTTTTAGGCGCGATCGGACAAAAGAGATTAATCGTGATGAATGGTACAGATTCATTTCCTCTTTAAACGTGATCAGACAAATGAGATCAATTACGATGAACAGCTCAGATCGACACGAGATGGGTATAAATACTTTGCATTGTAGGAGAACCTAAGTTTTAGCTGCGAGCTCCCACTAGAGAAGAAGAACCAGGCACCGAAAAAAGAGGCTGACCTCCGACTGTCGCCACACTATAGCCACCGTTGACTGCTAAAAAAGGTAAAATTTCCTCATACCTGCTCGAAATTCGATTATGAGAATCCCTATGGCCAAATCAGAGCAAAAGGGACAGCAGGTGAGCCAAAAATTGCGGATAAAGCCTAGTAGAGCCATAACTGCCAAAATAAAAAATCCTTCCGATGAGCCCCTTCCTATTTTTCGTTATATGCAATTTTTTAATCATTGTGTTCACCATCCTTTTCTGTACATGTTAGCCGAAGAAGGAATCCTAACTGTGAAGGAGGACCGGCGGAGTCGCCGCACCCGGAGGCCTACACGGATGGTAGGTTCAGTTTTTGTGATTGTTTGCCCAACTGAGGTCCCCTAATATGTTTTTCTATAAGGATACGTATAAAACTGGCCAAAATCGACCAAAACTGAATAAACCAAGGTGAACCGTTGCTGTGGATGGTGGAGCCAGCGCCGGAGCATGGCGGTGGCACCGTGTTAGAACTCAAAAATTGGCTGAAAAGAGTTTTGGATATTAATTTTTGGATTTTTGGGATATTTTTAGATACGCGACGAATGTTTTGAATTTCACATAAAAAATTTAGAAAATTTGGTACCTATTAGGAGACATAATAGATAGTGCGACATCTCAAAATACCAATTCGAGTAAGAATCCTTCACCCTATTCTCTGTTATAGCAAATTGAGACTCAACAATGTATAATTTTTTATTTTAAGAAAATTTAAAAAACTTTAAAAATAATTACAAGTCACTAGTGGAGATGGAACCAATTAGTTCACAATTGTCCTGATTTTCTATTTATTTTTTTGTACTGTCTTACTTACTTGTTATCGTATTGTGCATGTTTTTAATTTATAGTTCCAATGGTCTTATCGATTAATCTGGTTTATTTGATTTTCTGGTTTCTCGATCCATATTATGATAAATTACATCGTCTGCATAAATGTAGGCTAATCGATCTGTAAATATAATATGAAATTTTGGTATGCGTTTGTTGGTTGTTTTGTTTGATGGGAATCTTTGTGTGAAAGATTTACTGGGTACCCAGGGAAAGGGCAGACGAACCCGATATATAGGAAACCCTACTGTGAACATCACCTCAGTCGGACGGGGCTGGAAAGTTACATACCGAAAAAATTTGGGAGATATGGCTCACCCTCATACCAGATTAGGTATCGAGATGATAAATTGTTTGGCGCCCACTATCGGACGGGGTATGGGGATAACCGGTTAATTGTTAAAATTGAATATTGAGTTCACGAGTAGGGGGACATCCTTATGGACCTCCAGAAACATTAGTGAGTAAGTAAGAAAGAAAAATTATCGTCACTTGTTCTCTTATGTATGAAAATAAAAATTGGTATGGATATGGGTCTTTATAGATTGTCTTTAAAAAACTCCTAACGGTATGTATCAAACAAACATCTTTATGTTAAATGTGTTTAATTAAAGTAAGGGTTCTATTAGTTGTTTTTCTGATTTTTACCAATATTCAGTTTTCTGTATCTGTTATTAGTGTGATATTCTTACTGAACAAGTATAACTCACCCTTTCATTAACTATTTTAGATCAAGAAGACTAAGATCTAGATCCCGATCAGTAAAAAGATTGTGAGTAATTCACCATCCGGACTCCCTTTAAGTGTTAGTGGAGGTTGTCATAGGATGCTTATTTATTCAAATTTTTTTTTAAAATTATTGTTTGACTTTTAGAAGGGACATTCCCGTAACCCTATTAAGCTTTCTAAATTATTGTGTAAAGAATGTGAAATCTAACTCTATTATTCACATTTATATTTAAATTATAAATTCGTTTCCTTTAAGGTTCCAGACCTTTACACAAGATCTACTATCAATGTCCTCTTTATCGTCTACATTTTGTGGGATAGAATCGATTATAAAATAAAGTTTAGTCACAAATAAAATCTAAAGTATCATTCATTAATCATTTCCAATGTGAGAAAAACAAAATATATAACTGCTTCTTTTATTTTTATAATCTTTTTGTTGAGTAAAAAAATCAACTTATGATTGTAGAATCAAGTTATAAGTGAAGCTTATTCAATCACACATTCAAATATGAAAACTATAATTAACTTGTATATATTAAATAAATAAGATTTAGAAATTAAATTAAATTACAATAAGTTTGAATCAAATACAAAGTTACTATTATACGCACATAAGCTTGAAGCAAATGCAAAGTTACTATTATAAGTACATCTTATTTAACAATTAAATATATATAATTAATTAAAATACTAATATTTCTTTATAATCTCTATTTTTTTGTCATTGAAAGGAGAATGTTAACATGCTTTGGATTATGAAAGTGAAGATATTCAGTAATATGCTCGGAGTAAGTTTTAAATAAACTATCAATTATGGCTTCTCCAAAATGATGAACAAGAATGGATTCTGCGATGGCTCTTATGTAATCACTAATAATTTGCCCACTTTGATTCTCATTTAATACAAAATTTTCTTCTCCGATCTCTATAGCTTCCCTGAGATCCCAATTCACTTCAAGGGTTTCCAGTTTGTCGAGATTGAACGAACCTTCTTTCTCAATTATCTCTCTTACTTCTTCCTTATATGGAGTGTAACAAGGCATGTTGAACGAGTTTATATCATCTTCTTTCACAAGTCCCTAATTGATAAAGTCATATATTTATTTATAAATAGTTTACTAACACACATCACACATATATTTTTTTTTATTTGTTGACAAAGCATTTATGCTAAAACCAAGAACAAAGAGAACAAAACATACATAATGTACATATTTAATAATCAATTATAAAAATAATTAATTGTGGTTAATGATGTGGATTATTGTGACATGAATAACTTGTTGTCTATATAATTAAATATAATTAATATTTAAAAATATATATAGTGAAAATTGAAAATTAATAATAAAAATAAATTACCTTGGCAACTAAATCCATGAGAGATGTTGCAAGAAGGTCCCAAAAGGGAGAAAAATATTTAGAGGCGGAGGGATGTGGAATTCTTCTACCAACTAAGATAAGAAGCATACAACCTCCTGCTTTCATTTCTTCACACCGTAGCCTCAAGAAATTTGAGAAATCCTTCTCAAATTGCTCCTTGTATGCTTTGTATACATTTGGAGGACTTGAGTGTGCTATGTATATCTTTCCCTTGTTTTCCTCATTGATATAATCTGGAACCTATATATACATATATGTGTATATATATGAAATTACCAATGGTTTAATATGTTATTTTCCTATAAAAATTTGCAAGTGATGATTTTGTGTCTTGGTTTTAAAATTATGTTTTACTATACTACGATTTGTGTTCATATACTGTTTAAAAAACAAATATATTAATTTCGACTAACATATACACGTGTTTCTATGTACTTGCCTTGGAGAGCCAATGAAGACTGGTAGAAGAATGTACAAAATCAAGACTCTCCTTGGGAAACAGTCTGCCATAGAAGGAACCAGCCACAGCCGATACAAAACAGCGAAGCTTGTTTTTATCACGTTGATTATAAAATGCAGGAACTTCTTTCAAAACACTGTTGAAATCATTGGTAGGAAGGTCGTTTAAGAAGACTTGGATTTCTGGATCATGATGATCACGATCATCTTTCTGCTGGTTGCAGATGATATCGTCATCAATGGTGTTAATAATCTCTGAGATCACCTGTAGAGTATTGGGTCCCGACGAGCAACCCAAATCTGCAACTCTGAAACAAGCCGGCCAACCGCCATTAACACTGCTACTACTCCTCTTCATCGACCTTATCATGTTTTTTGTGGTTTCTACTAGAAATGGCTTGGATTTTGATATTGTTATTCTCTGAAATATTAAATCCAGAAAGTTATGGAATTATCGAATGTTGTTATATAATCATGCGCATATATATGTGTAAAAGTATATATGATTCAGATGATGAAAAAGAAAGAAAGAGACCTGGAGGAGAGAATTATTGGCGTAGCTTCTTTTCCCATCTCCTGGAGGATTCATACAGAGAACACTTGCAACATCCATCTTCAATAATCTGATTTGTATCTCCAGTTCCCTGTTCTATCTGTCTTTATACACACGAGTATCTTTTTGTATGTACTGTAGAAGATAGAAGTAAATAGAAGGACAACCTGGACATTGACATAAGATTAAAAAATGTCCCACAACCAAACACTAAAAAATGATTAGACAAAAAGTGGCAGCTACACAAACCAACAAACACTTTACTTTTTTGAAACTTAAAGAGAATTCCAAGAAACAGAATTAAGGCTGACTTTTAATTATGAGAATTTTAATGATTATAAAGATAAATTAATATTATATCAACTAATTACTATTTAGATCTTGTTTTGTGCAGCTTTTGGGTTGTGACTCTTGCATTTTAAAAATACTTTTACAATTAAATTGGTGAAATACGATGTACTTTTGACAACATACAAACCTAAAATCTACTTTAATTAAGTTTAAAGTAAAAACAAAAAAAAAATTAAAATATGTAACTTCAAAAAATAATTATAGTTTTACACAAATTTATATTATTTTATACACAAATAATTAATTCACTTGTCGTGGTGGAACTCTATTATTGATTCTATTAAAGAACTCAAAGATTAGGCGATATAAGTACACATGCATTGAATTATTAAGGTACATGAACACTTTTTAAATTTTTATTTTCTCCAATATATACGTTTAAAAACATGGTTTACTTAGAAACATGTGTTGCATAATGAGTTGTTGTTGATCAAAACAAGTTTCTATATATAAAATGAATCTTTAACTCATTGTGGTTTGAAAATTATTTCTATATAGTTAATTTGAGATCCCATATGCAAGCTATGCAACTCGAGTTTGTAGGAGTAATAAAAAGAACTATGTGTGTAATCAACTTTTTTATATTATGCTCTCAAATCAACTGTACTTTTTTTCTTTTTTTGGAACGTAAAGAACTAAAAATTTGTTATTCCAAAAGACTAATTTTTAAAAAATTACATTCAAATTTACTAATGTTCATGTGTGTAAATTATTTTAGTAACACCTTTAAGTCCCAATAATAACTTCATTGTTCATTTAACCAAAATATATAAATAATTATACAAATATGTATATGTCACTAAATAATATGATGAATCATTTACGATCTAATAGATATATTACTAAATAACTCTATCAAGACTAGTTAATATGATACTAACATGTTAATATGACAAAATCTTGTCTCTATTGACATGATTATTGTAACGGCCCTGAAAATCCAAAAAGAAATATATAATAATTTAAGTACGGAATCAAAATAAAAAATTAAAGTTTACATCCCTTACACAATAACTTAAAAGTACTAAACAAACATTACGGAATGAATTCTCTAAAAAAAACATGAAAAATAAGAAAGGTAATAGAAAATAGAAAGTATCTAGCATCTACTCGCAATCTTCCTGTGGATCGGGCTCTGGAACCAGATCTTCTTGATCTAAAATGAATAAATAAAGAATGAGCTACACTAGTCCAATAAGGATGTCATACTATATCACCGCACAGAAGCAAAAATTAGTATAAAATCAAAACAACTAATGGAGCACTTAGTTTAAACCAATACTTTTATTAAAAATAAAATCATTTACCGTCACTTATCATAATGGAATTTATGAAAACAACCTATAGAAACAATAATACCATACAGATCATAACTTTATGAACAATCAGTAATGTAGAACATATCATAGATATATATCAATTAACAATAAACTAAATCATAACCGTTTCTTATTTCACCAGCCTACTAGTATCCATGGAGTTTATAGGGAAGTCTCTGCTACATGTGAACTCTTTCCTTTAACAATCTCAATTACAGGACTGTCCCCATACCCCGTCTAGTATGAGCGCCAAGACATTACACCTCAATACTCTGTCCAGTATGAAGGTGAAGCGGATCGTCCCCATACCCCATCCGGTATGAGCGCCAAATTACTAAGTCTCCACACTCCATCCGGTATGAGACAACGTTCACGGTAGGGTTCTCCATGTATCCGGTCCGTCCATCATCTCTCAAGATATCTAGTAAGGCTGTCATTCCATCTATTTATTTGATCACACCCCTTTCTTATTTTTCTTTAGTCTCTATTACTAAATCAAACATAATCACATAAACAAATAAACATGCATCCGGTAATGCAGTCATGTCTCAAATTCCAAATCAAACAATGGTCAAGTAAGGCATTAATACATGCATTTAAATCGTAAAATAGATAAATAAGATACTATCATATTTTTA